TGGTCTTTCCAAACGAACATTTGTTATGAGCAAGCACAGTTATTGCTAATTTTCTTTATATGATGTCTTCCCTATCTACATCATCCAGATGTGCTCACCATGCTGTTTGGAGGGTAATGGAAATTATAGTCCAAAATGGAGGAGACCACATTAAGAAAACCTACCTACATTATGTTTTCCAGTTAAACATTTATATCTTACAGAAACTCAAAAGGAATTGTTTACAGATTGTTCTCTTGGGAAGTTTGAGTATCATTTGTGTCCATGCCATCACAATGGCAGTTTTGTGTCTGTGACCAAAATACCACAACCTGACTATGTATTTGGCAGAGAAGGGTTCATGTGCTGCAAACTTCAACTATTCTTAACATTTTGTCATTCCAAAAATATTTTTTCCAGCATTTTTTCTTTCCTTCTATTGAGAAACTGAATATTACTTCTCTCTGGAGCTTGAGCATATTACTCCCACAGCAAAACTACTCCTGAGCATAGGAGTAGTTGCTCTATTTTTTATTAAATACAGAAAATTATTATTCATTTCTAATGAACTTCTCCAAATTGAAACTCTCCAGATATACTATTAAATGAATTCCATAGTGTCCCACCAGAATGACCATGGATCTGCTTGCTTGAATTATGGGAATTATAATCCGATCTCGGGAGGGTACTGAACTGAGAAAAGTCTACTCTTTCTCCCTCCCTCCCTGTATTCAATAAAAGTAAAAGCATATTATCAATCAAACACAGTATCTTTGTTTGCAGAATATGGCTGACCGCTTGGCTCAGTTAAGCATGTTGCATGAACAGGCCAATAAATATAAAACAGCATGGCTAGTGTGAGATTGAGAGGAAAGGACATAATTCCTCCAGAGAAAACAGAAAGTTTTTGAGAACTTCTTCCTAAATATGTATAATGTAGTAAATTGAAAGAGGATAATGTGAACTCTATATAAGATGGGTTTGGGTTTTTTTGTTGTTGTTGTTCTTGGTCTATTCTAGCGAAAGTGGGCAATTACAGCAAACAGGATTTCCCTCCCCCTGCCTGGTCTGTATTTAATAATGCTAATGTTTACCATCTGACTCGCTGAGACAGCTGTTCCTGCAGGTAATTAAATAATACCCTCCATCACTAGCAATCTCCAGTGACCCAGTCAACCAAGAAGCAGCAATTTTCAATGTCTCTTGAGCTGCTGCAAAAAAGGGTATGAGGCTGTCACTTCTTTTATTTATTTACATTTAATTTTCACCTGAGTGAAAAACTGAAAAGCCCACCATAATGCTGTTGACAGCAATACCATTATGCACAGAGTTGGGTGGGACCCTACCTACCTTCAACCCTTTCTGTACGTTTTCTACCCCAGGTTCCCATGTAGAAAAGCAAAACGTAAAGAGGAGATAGAGATGATATTCCTAGAAGTCCTTTCAATGACTTTTTTTCATCTTAGAGTCAAGTAGTAATAGTTAAATCCTTACCCAGTAAACAATTTGAGGTAGAGAATTACATTTAATTGAGTGGGTTGTACACACACAACACTCTAATCTTCCCTTGATCCAATATAATATTGATCCAATATTACAATGCTGTAATATCAGCAAAGCATTAACTTCTATTTGGAGGGACAGGAGAGGAAGTCATTCATATAAAACCCTGGAAGTGATGTGTCACGCCCAGCCCAAGAACAATGATGAAACAGTCCAGTCGAGTACGGTTCCTTTATTTGCTTACATCTTATAGACAGAATCTTGCCAGACTCAATCTATACTACAGCAACAGGTGGATATACCCTGGGAGATTCTAGGGAGTGGCTATCCTGAATGTCTTTCACTTCCCACAATCCCCCTGAGGGCTGCTTTGTCTCTTATCTCCTTTCCCCTTCTGGAATGACCCCCCTCCCTCCTGATAGCCTTGATCTCCCACATCACTCTCCTCCATGTAGATACATTCCATCACATGATGTAGGGTTTAGGGCCTACTTACAATTTTTAAATTAAAGCCATTTCAACTGATCCAATCTACTCTCCATCCTACAAATGCAATGTATTATCCCAGAATAAACTGCGGGGTTGAAGGTATGTGTGAGTATCCTTCCATTTTATGTCAGGATAACTTATTTGATATGAAACAGCAATTTGCATGGATCCAAGCATGGTAAAAGGAGAGTCCATGCAAAGAAGGAATTTCCCTTAATTTGAATTGTAAGATTCATCTGCTGAATCTGAGGTTAAAGAGCAAACCAGACAATCAGTCTGCAGAGCTAGCAGGCAATCAGGCAGCTCCAACAGCTTCAAAGAAACAAAGAACCTGAGCAGGTGAAACCCAATGCAGATAATGAGGCACCTGATGCTGGCCGGGCACTTAGATCAGAACCCACTGGCAACTACAAAGGGCTGAGCAAGGGCAATCAGCACACCCCCTAGACAGGAGAGGGCTGCCAGATCCATGATCAAGCCATGCCAGCAGCTGGGGCTATGTAAGGGCAGCCTCTGGGCTCTTGCTGTTCAACTGCAGACCCATACTCTTGTTCCTTGTCCTCCATTCACAACCTAGGTTTGATATTCAGACTGGCTTCTGAAATTCTCTGGTGTTGAAACTCTAGAGCTGGCTGGGGAATTCTGGGAGTTGAAGTCCACGCATCTTAAAGCTGCCAAGGTTGAGAAACACTGCTCTAGACTATTACAGGCAACTTTTGTGGCTTTGCTTTTTGCTTGCTAGCAGATTGTTATGACTCAAACTTTCTATGGCTTTGAGCCTTCTATGTCTTAAATGCTCTCTGATTAATTACTGACCTGATTCCTGGCTATGATTAAGACATGCCAATAAAGCATTTCAAACTTGCATTTGCCTGGCTTTTTGATTTGTAGTGACTAACACATGACAGTAATCAGGTATAAACGCTGCACAACTCGAGGATAGATACTTTTTACTGGTTTTCCATGTTAAACAAAAACTCTTTTTAAAGCTCCTGGTGAACCTCTCCTCTCCTTGTCTCCATTCAGTTACATTCTCTCTCTCATATTTAGGAGAACAGGATGAACCACTACCCTGTGAGAGACAAATTAATTTTAGACAGCTTGTCATTATTGTCATGTCATGATGAGATGCAAGATTGAATTAGAAGGCAGCATTAGCAGAACTATATTAAAATCTAATGATCGTTGGCCTAATCAGATATGAACTCTTATTTCCAATAGCTCCCCTCCTGGCATTATTCTCCAGCAACTGAATCTCTGAGTCAAACACATCATGCTCCTTGTCATTATGCCTCTGCATTTTTGTGCATTATCCACTAGAGTAAAGGTGTTTTTTTATCACCTACTCAGATATAAAACTTCTAAAGGCAAAGATGGATGAATAATTCTATTGTAAAGCAATACATGCTAAGAAAATCCTGAAAATGCACTGCCACAGGGAAAGTACAGACAGTAAATTACTGGAGGTGGATTTAAGTTGCAGAATAGCATGTACAGGACTGGAGGATTCCCATAGTGCCACTGTAGTGCTCCACATCTCATCCTAAATCCCAGGATTGTGATATGGAAGATAGGTACTTATATCTTTTCTAGAGCTACAGCACTTTCAAGAGAGGTTTAAATATTTCTTTAACTGCCTCCTGCCACTACTTTAGCCTAATCCAAATACTCTTACCACAGTCTGAAATTTGGCTTGTAGAAATAGTTTCTGAAAATGGATGATATATGCATGTGTCCCAAGAGTTCAGGGACTAATGTGGACAATTATCTGGAGGTAAGATATGAGATTTTATTCTGTTAGTAATACTAAATACTTAAACTTACTAAATTTGCTGTGAATCTTCCTTCAGCAAATTTGATTCAGTACTATAGATTCTAGACCAGAAAGTATGTTAATTTTTAAACTGGTAGAATGAGGTTCTTTGAGAAAAATCTATAAGACACTTTCAAAGATATTTTTGTTCACAATTTTAAAAAAATGTTCTAATCTGAATGTGCACAGGATCTCTGTGCAATGGGAAATACAGAATGATTTGGATTTCCAGTCCCATGAGAACCTAAGAAAAAACAGCACTACATAGGCTCCCTTTATAGATATTGTATTGAATGTATGGAATTTGGCAGGGGCAGTGCGATGTATAATACTAGAAT